AAAGAATGCCTTTCCCCCCCTCTCCTTAATTTTTTGTAACTTTTTTTCAGGGCTGGGGAGATAACTCTGTTGGTCTAAGCGCCCTGCCTGGCAAGCGCAAGACTGGGTTCGGTCCCTGGTATGGCATGCGGTGCATAGACTGAGACAAGAGGCTCATTAGGGGTCGGAGACTCTGTACCAAGTAAATCACTTTTTTGGATCAATTTTGCATGCTTATATCTGGTTATCTGAACAACTAATTTGAAGACAATGCACTATGACAACCATTGTTGAATCCCTATTATTTTGTTTAGTGAAATTCTAATAGTTTTTGTTTTACTATTTTTTATTCTCTTTAAAAATAATAAAAGGAATGGAAGTAAGAAGTTTAGACATCTGGTTGGGAGGGTGTTATTTGTTTTTCAGAAGAGAAATGAGTTTGTTTAGATCTGTTTGGAGTTTCTGGTTAGGAGAGAGGTTGTCCATAGAGAAGAAAGAGAGCAGGAAATATGTCTGAAGGCCTCTGGGAGGTGGAGGGAAGGATTTAGATTAGTGGGCTGTGTGGTACTAGGATAGGAGTGTTTTCAGAATGAGGTGGGTGGCCCTTGATCTGGAATCCCCATCTTCTAGGCGGTGCTTTGCCCCAGTATAGGCTCTACTCAGGAAAAGGCAGTTGGTACTCATCCCAAGTGGGGTTCAGGAAGGCAAAGATGACTGAGGAGCTGAATGTCAGAGTGATGTGATGAAGCGATGGAGCATGCGATTTGAGCTGGGCGGGGAGACCCTCATGAGGCCAGAGGGGACTGGGACCTGGGAGGAAGAGAAGTGAGTTGAGGCCCTAACAAGGAAGTGGAGGGGGCATAGTGATAGCACTGGGCCAGGAGCCTGGGAGAGTAGGATGAGGGCACAGTGTCTGCATTCCTGGTGTTAGGACCAGGTTCTGCTCCCAGGAGGGCATAGCTAAGATGGAGTGAAGGGGAAGGTCTTTGGATAGGAGGTCAAGAGACAGACAGCTCATGGCTACCAAGGGTGGTGGTGGCAGTTGGGTAAGAAGGCCTGAAGGTAGGGGAGTGATCAAGAGGGAGGTGTGTGGGAGCTGAGGTGTTCCTTGGCCTTGGGCAGTGGAGGAGAAAGTGTGGGCATGGCCTTGGTGAGCAGGGAGGCTGCCAAGCCTAGTTTCAAAGGGTAAGAAAATGAGTAGCTTGCTCGAGAGGGCTGTGGGGAAGGTGAGTGCTTAGGCGAGCCGGGTGCCATTTTCTGCAGAGGCCACAGCTGATATGGTGTGGGGGAAGGAAGGGGTGTTCAGGGGAGGAGTCGACAGGTGGAAGGAGACTTGGTAGTGGAGGGACCAGCTGTTCCCTCAGGGGTGCAAGCAGCGAACAGCCTGGGGTGGCTGGGCATGAGAGCGCAGTTCTGACCAGGCCCTGAGCTGACAGCCGGTATGAAGAGGTGTTCAGAGCTGCCCTTCCTACTCTCAGGTGATCATGGTGATCGTGCCCATGGGAAAAAAACTGATTCCCTTCCACAGAGGCTGAGGCAGAGAGGACTTAGAGCCAGCTGCTGTTTTTTGGGGGATGTATGTTTGCAGTTCCTGAGGAATCTTAAGAGGCCTGGGGAAGGAATGTGCTGGTCATGGTATAAGGTTTTCAAGGCAAGTTGCTCCTTCCTGCATGCCACCCTGGCCTCCTGCTCCAAACTGTGCACTTGCAAGAGAATTCACAGAGCTGGGAGGTCCTTCTAGATAGGCACCTCATGGAAGGTGAGAATCAGATCACAAAGTAATGAGCAGAGTAGAAGTCGTGTGTCCTTGTCCCCATCTCCAGGCTTACAAGGGCCTGAGTGGTGTTTAGTTCAGGTCGTCTATCCTTGGGGCAGGGTGGTGCCTTCCCTGGCAGTCTGCAGGCCCCTCCAGGTCAAGATCTGGGCTCCGGGCAGCCCAGAACTCTGTGCCCAGCTGTACTCCAGGGCCTGGCAACAGCTCCCCCTCCACCCCAGAATGCACTGGCTTTAAGGATATGGTAGCACCTTCTGATATACAAGGAGTGCAGATCCCAGCTCCATGAGGCCTTGTTTATAGCTGCTTGCTAGGGGAGGGAGCTGGGTCCGTGCACAGCTGTCAGTGTGCCGCAGTGAGCCCCAGCCAGGTCTGTAATCTGTAGATAAAGGTTCTCAAGGCCTCATGGATGGCACATCCATCCAGAAAAACTCCAGCTGTTCTCTTCAGTTTGAAATTCCTTCAGTAGGAGCACTGAGGTTTTTGTTTTCTTTTCTTTCTTTCTTTTTTTTTTTTTTGCATTTTAGGGAAGGGCCTACAGGGTGTTCAGGGTTTCACTACTAGTAGTGATCCACCTGTTTACAGCCTCCCAAGAGCTGGGATTACAGGCTCCCAGTCAACTGCAATCTCAGCAGGCCCCAGGGGGTGGGGCGGGCACAGCAGGCCTGGGGATGAAACTCCCAGCCCCTGTGCCTGTTTGCATGCGCTTTAATCCACTAAGCTATGTGGCTGGCCCGAGGATTTTGTTTTGAGACAGGGTCTCCCTAAGTTGTCCTGGTGGACTTTAAACTTGTGATCCTTCCATCTCAGGCTGCTGAGTGGTAGGATTACATGCATGGACACCATGGCTGGTCCAAGGGTTCTTAATTTGATGTCATATTTTTGGATTAGTGGAGGCCATCACTAATCCACTGACCAAAACAGAAGTTCAGTTAAAGTGCCTTGGCTGAGTGTGCTCCGCCATTCTAGACTGGAATTTTGAGCCCAGCCTGGGCAATTTAGTGATTTAGTAAGACCCTGCCTCCAAAAAAAGGTGGTAGTGGTGGTAGGGATGTAGCTGTTATGGTTTGGGTCTAGTTGTCCCCGCAAAGCCTCATGTGAGTTATGGGCAGGCTAGCTGGAGGAACAATCAATGGCTTGAGGGGCGGGGCCAGAGGATCAGGGCAGGGCCCTAGAGGCACAAACTGCTAAACTGGCTAGCCTGTGCTTTCTCAGAGATGTGAGGGGTCATCCCGGACACGGCAGCGTACCAGCCTCTCCTCCAGTGTCTTGAAGCCTCCAGTAAGTGTGAGCTAAATAAACCTTTCCTTCTCTCATTTTGAGTGTCCATGCAGAGGGTTGAATTTTTTTTTTATTTTTTATTTTTTATTTTTTTTTATTTTTTAGACAAGGTCTTGCTTTGTGGCTCAGCTGGCCTTGAACTTGAAACCATTTTCCTGCCTTGGCATCCTGAGTGCTGGGATCACAAACTTGTTCAAAGGATTCAATCTCAATAGTGAAGGAATAAAACAGAAACAAATACCCCCCAAAAAAACCCCCAACGCTTCCCTTTCTTTATAAGAACCTTTTTGCAAATTACTGTTGAGACACCATTAGCCCCAACAGTGGCCCACATGGTGGTGCAAAGGGAAGTCTACCTCCAATTACAGAAAGCTCTTCTGCCCTTTTGCTTCACTTTCATCTCTTCTTATCCCACCCTGTGCCCCTCTCTCCCCATCCTTGT